TTTATGACCAGCACCTGTATGTTTGACAAATCCTGGAATCTCCTGTGGTAGCCATGTGGAGCTGCCCTAAACGACTGCTGGTAAAACGCTCTGCCCATTTACCCAAAGCTCCTCCCTGGAGCTCAGTCTGCAGCTGAGCTCCTGTCCTACTTCCCCAAAGCATTGTTGTGAAGTCGTGCTGAAGTGGGAGTGTCAGAAATGGAAGGAGGATCTCAAAAATACAGAGGCCAATATCAAGGCATTTAGACAGGCTATGATACAAAGTCACATTTATTTTTGATTTATACAGCTTTTTCAGAACAACTGAGGGTAACATATTTGCTCGACTGTGGTATAGACTTGAGCTATGTGCCTGGAAAATACACAACACCCCCACTTTAAATCTTCCAAAAGCAGGGGAGTCAGCTGTTGGCACTCCTATATCACAGAATATTCCAAAACTTGAAATGTGACAAGATAAACTGCACCACGATACAAGCTTTACAAGTCTGTCTGTCTCAATTCCTGGTGAAAGCTGGCCTTTTGTTGTTGGTCCATGTCACTGCATCCACTCTAGTGAAAGTGACAGGACTCTCACATCTGTTTCCTGTCAGAGGTGGAGATGCAGAACAGAGAGTACATCTGATAATTGGCCTGTCAGCCACTGTATTCATGCTTGACTTTAGTCTGTGTCCAACACACCAGAGACCGCTGGTGTACAGTGCATGTGAGTGTGGAGAAAAGAATGATTAACTGTACGTGAAGTACTCTACAAATATTTTCTATAGGAATTTATACATGGGTAAAATGTGACCTACCATTCACAAACATTAGTTTGAGGCAATAAAAATTGTGGTGCAATGGATCTAACTGTCTACACGTAGGCACAAATACCATGTATAAATTATAACTTATTGTCATAATAAATATCGATACCATCTGTCCATTTATCCATTTTTTTTACCCTTTTTCGAGACGGGGCTCTCTGCAGTCACAAAGTGGGATTTTTTTGGTGTGTGGGAGGTGTTTGTCAAAGTTGCAATTGATCAGATGGACAGTTTTGGGTTGGGTTTGAAGAAGCGACAACAATTTGGTTGGATGAATGCCGGGCAGCTAGGGGGACGTTAGCGGTGCGACAATACATGTGCCCATATTGAACCGTTCAATACACACTTGTATCGAACAATACAGATGTTTTTAATTTTATTTTAACTGCTTGTCTTCTGAAGATGCTCTGTGTTGAAGGATCAGTGGATCTGTGTTCGACTACTCCACCTAGGCTGCACTGTCGAGTGCAGATCCACTGAAAAACTTGCGGTTTCAGCAACATTTAATTTAATAACTGTATTTTGAGGTTAAACAAATGTTCATAATTAATTTGAATAAATTACAAATTAAAAAGGGCATGGAAATTTCTCTTTTTTTTGTATCGAAAAAATATTGAACCGTGAGACTAAAGTATTGAACCGAACCGAATCGTGAATTTTCTGTATCGTTGCACCCCTAGGGGGATGTGTAGCTCGGTCGAAACAGCCAGAAAGCACCTTTAAATATAAATATTAATTTTAGTCATAACTTGAGATAGGAAGGTGCTAATCCCACCCAACTGAAGTCAATAAATTATATTTACATGTTTTCAATAATTTTACTTCATCTTTTAACTTGCTCCACAAGACAAATCAATCCGCCAATCAGTTAGGTCAAACTCCGTCCACACAGCTAATAAACTTCCCCTATGTGCTGCAGAGATCCCTACTTGCCTGTTTTCTGTGCAGAATTGGGGGAAGCTGATTCTCTCTCTAAGATCATTAGGTACACCTCAGACAGGTCACCAGTTTATTTACCCTCTGTGTTATTTACTTTCTTCTAACATTTTTACCATTTAACCTTTGTCTGTATGTGTTGTTACAAAGTAAATAAAACTGATATAGCACTAATAAAAAAGGGAAAAAAGACAAAAGGAAGTTAAGAACAAAAACCATATCTGTGGCTTTTGTAGCTTTCAGGGAACGTCTGAGGCTCTGCAGTGATTCTACATCCGACCACATTTTTCTGTTTAATCTGTTTATAACGTTTCACTTTGTCTTTGATTTAGTTTTCCACCACCTGTGAGTACACATCAGCATACAGAAAAGAAAAATGGGAAGTGATCTGATAAAGCTGAGGTATAAAAAAAGAAGTACAGTAAAAAAATAAAAAAGGAAAAAAAAATGTTGATTAGTTTTCACTGTTGCTTGGCACCAAGAAACAGAGCAAATAAACCTTTTTTTTTTTTTACCATTTGCAATCTGTCCCTGACATCACACAGCGCCTTGTAAGAAGGTCATTAAAGTAGCCTGCTGGCTGTCAATTTCATCGCTGCAAGTCCTCTGCTGGTTTGTGTTGTAAATTGTTTACATCTCTATGGGAGTTTAGTTATCATATGGAATATTTCCACTGACACTTTTCATTTGATTAGACACAATTCTGAGTTGACATGAATCTGGTTTCAGATGAAACAATGATTCTATTTCTGGAGGTT